AGCCTAAGGCCCCAGAAATTCTCCAGCCTCCCAGCTGGGGTGCAGAGAAAAGAGACAATCTGCCTGGGACATGTAGCCTGACTTGACCCTCCCAGGGCCTCAGTCTCCCCTCATAGAAAACAAAAGTAGGACTTCCCTAGAGGTCCAGTGATTAAGACTCCACACTTCCATGGCATGGGTTCGATCCCTGGGCAGAGAACTGTGCCACACAATGTGGCCAAAAAATTTTTTAATTAAAAAAGAAAAGTGCTGGACACAATGAAATTCCCAGCTGCTTTTAATTTCAACCCTCTGTGATATGCTGTCTTGAGCTCTCACAGTTTTGTTTTAATTTGGGGGATTGGTAGCATTTAAACACTGGGAGATTTAATATAGAAATCTGGGTGCCCAGCAATATATAACTCTCATTCTTAGAGGGCAACCATTGGATGGAGTCCATTGATGCCACCTCTCCCCCCACCCCACAAGATGGACAGAGCCTTGCTGCTGGTTTGCCCAGAGGCTCTGCCATCCTGACTGCCCCAACCTGCCTGTCTCACTCTCCAGCTTCCTTCCAATCCCAGCCCTAAAGGGAACCTGCTCCTGCAGGGCCTTTTCTTTTGCCCTGGGCAGTCACATGGCCTTTTAACAGCCTAATGACATGCACCTGGCTTTTCACTGGCCAGAGGTTTTGGATCAACCAGCTAGGCTTAAATCCCAGCTCTAATTCTTCAGACCTTAGCAAGTCATTTAGCCTCTGAGCCTCCATCTGTAAAATGGGCGTTCGAAGAGACTGTGCCTTATTCAGGGTTGTCCTAGGGACTTTAGACAAGCATGTGACGTTCTCAGCCCTGTGCCTCGGACGGAGCACTCCGGCCCTGCGCATTCTTACTGCTGTCCCGCACAACCCTACAGGACGGAAGTGTCTGAGCTCGCGCGCACAACCCTAGCTGGGGGACAGGCCACAGGAGGAATGCAGGAATGCTTGTTAAATGGAGGAAGCAGTGGAGAGAGACCCGAGGAACCGATGAAGTTGGAGAGTGGAAGTCGCAGGAGGCTCGGGCGGATGGACAGGAGGAGGAGAGCCGGCCGAAGCCAGCCGCCAGGGTCTTCGGACATTCCTTTGGCGCCACCTTCTGGCTGATAGGAGCTTCACACCCACCCATTGATCCACAGGTCAGAGTGGACCCTCCAGTGTGGGCTGATCGTCTCTATTTTTAGAATTGGCAAGCTCCCTAGAACTCATAATAGGCTTCCCAGGTGGCTCAGTGGGTAAAGAAACTGCCTACAATGCAGGAGATGCCAGAGATATGGGTTCGATTACTGGATTGGGTAGATCCCCTGGAGGAGGGCATGGCAACCCACTCCAGTATTCTTGCCTGGAGAATCCCCAAGGACAGAGGAGCCTGGCGGGCTGCAGAGTTGGACATGGCTGAAGCGACTGAGCACTACAACTCACCTAACTCCAGTCCTTCACCACGTCTGAGCAGGGGAAGCCTCAAAACCAGACAGCAACTTTCTCAAGGTCACATAGAAACTGCCTGGCTGAGGTCCATTTAGAACCCATAACTTGCTACAGCTGCCAAGAATAACAACCCCTTCTCTTTGTCGGGGATGCATGATATACAAAACTGTAACTTCCCTTGCTTGGCCAATGAGGGGACCTCTCCAAAAGCAGACTCTGCAACGAGGGAGGCATGCAGGTAGTTTTTTGGAGAGTTGAACCCAAGAGGCACCAGTGGGGCTGTGGGACATGAAACAGAAAAGAAAAGGAAGCCCATGCAGAGGGCATGTGTGGATCGATCTCTCTAGGGAACCTAGGAGACAGTACAGAACACACCTCAGATTTGTCTCTCCCAAGGGCAAGGAAGCTGGGGCATTTATCCTCCAACTTTCACTTCTATTTGAGAGTATTCAGGGCATTATATAAGAGATGTGGGTTTGATCTCTGGGTCAGGAAGATCTCCTGGAGGAGGGCCACGGCAACCCACTGTAGTATTCTTGCCTGGAGAATCCCATGGACAGAGGAGCCTGGTGGGCTACAGTCCATGGGGTTGCAAAGAGTCAAACACAACTGGTGCGGCTGAGCACGTATGCACACATTCAGGACATTTGCTCACCCAGCTGCATCTTACCTGCCCTACACCTGCACCAAGCCTGTTTTGAAAACCAGGGAAAGCCCCAAGTGCTTGCAATAGGAAACTGACTGCTCAGCGAGAAATGTGAATGCTGAGGGTGGTCGTTCTCAAAGTGTGACCCCTGGACCAGCAGCATCACCGGGGACACCTGTAGAAACGCACAGTCTTGGGCCACATCCCAAAAATACTAAATCAGAAACACGAGTGGCGGAGCCCAGCAATCTGTCTTTTATTAATGACAGGTCTTATAGGTGGTTCTGATACATGCTCAAGACTGAGAACCAGTGACTAGGAGAGATCAAAGGAGGCATCCATAGCATCTGCCCATTGTATTGCCTCCATTTGCCAGATGGGCAAACTGAGACCCTAAAAAGTGAGCGTGACCTACCCGAGGTCACACAGACAACAGGTGGCCGACCTGGGTCTTTAGTCTCTTTCTGCACTTCTGTCCTGTACAGAAGTAGCAGTAGCTTTTAGACTCTGTTGTTGTTTAGTCACCGAGCCGTATCCAACTCTTTTCAGCCCCATGGAGCGTAACCCTCCAGGCTCCTCCGTCCACAAGATTTCCTGGGCAAGAATGCATTTCCTTCTCCAGTATCTTCCTGACCCAGGGATCAAAGTTGAGTCTCCTGCTTGGCAGGCAGATTCTTTACCACTGAGTCACCAGGCTTCCCTGGACTCTCAGCAGGGGATAGAGGTGAGGGCCCAGGGCTCCCCTCTGCCCGCCCCCCACCTCCACCACTTTGCCCTACTTTCTGAACCAGACGGCTCCCCCTGGTGCCTCCAAATGGTTCTCTCCTGGGAAGGTTGCCAAGCCAGGTGCCTACTCCCGGCTCCCAGCTGCCCTCACAGCCTCCAATGGGAACAAGCCCTCTCCACCCCCATCCTCCAGGCAGCAGGACAGGTTGGGAAATCCAAAGCAGCTTCTCATGGTGGGGGTGGAGGGGTGAGGTCCCTGGGTTAAACCAGCCCAGCCCCATCTTCAGCAGGAGTCTTTGGGCTGGGGCTTTGCAATCCCCTTCCTTCTCCTTCTTGCCCTACAACCTCCCCCCTCCCCTCCCCTCTGCTCCCACTCCATCTGCTGCTCCTCCTGGCTAGGCTCCCCCTCAGTTGGCACAGCAGGAAAAGAGAACAGGACGGTTTATTTTTATCCCCATAACTGCTTAGGGGGAAGGGGGCACCATCTGACCGAGAAGCCGTCAGAGGCTCCTATGGCATTTGGGAGGTCAAAGAAGGTGGGGAGCCCGGGAGCTCCCTGGGAAGGGGCCACAGATGTAGGCTCCAAAGAGCAGGCAGGGCTGGAAAATGCAGCCCAGGACCGGGAAGGGGCGCTCTGAGGGGCACCGCTCTGAACTGCTGTGTGACTAGAAATTACCTCTCTGGACCTCCATTTCCCCTCCGATAAAGACGTAGGGGGATGCTGGCCCTGCCTGCCCCAAAGGCTATTGTCGAGAATGTGAACCACACGGGAAAACCCCTTTGCAAACAGGGTGCCAAATGTGAGGGCACGTGGAACCCACCCTGGAGAGGCCGCGGCCTGGGGACTTTTCTCATTTACGCTCAGAAAGCGCCCTAATTCTGAGAGCCTGACAGCATGTGAAGCAGCTCATGTCACCCAGCGTGTCCACCCCCGCTTTTCTTTTTACATGTTTGATGACTTTTTAATTACATAAGCAGTGTGTGAATTCACTCTTCTTTGGGGGGGGGGGGGATGAAGCATTATGGGAAAGTCAAATCTTTCCTCCCCCGGACCCTTCTTACCTAACTGAGACAGTACAATTTTTCGAGCTGTGCAAGTTCTGTGTGTCCTTCCGGGACCCCCGTTTATACCCACATATATAACACACTATGTTTATATACGTATCTGTAGGTGATATATCTGGAGAAGGCAATGGCACCCCACTCCAGTACTCTTGCCTGGAAAATCCCATGGACGGAGGAGCCTGGTAGGCTACAGTCCATGGGGTCCCTAAGAGTCAGGCACGACTGAGCAACTTCACTTTCACTTTTCACTTTCATGCACTGAAAAAGGAAATGGCAACCCAGTCCAATGTTCTTGCCTGGAGAATCCCAGGGACGGGGGAGCCTGGTGGGCTGCCGTCTATGGGGTTGCACAGAGTCAGATATAACTGAAGCGACTTAGCAGCAGCAGCAGCAGCAGCAGCAGCAGGTGATCATATTGTTTTGGGTTGTGTGTGCATGCTCAGTCATGTCCCACTCTTTGCAACCCCAGACTGTAGCCCACCAAGCTCCTCGGTCCCTGGCGTTCTCCAGGCAGGAACACTGGAGTGAGTGGGTTGCCATTTCCTCCTTCAGGGGATCTTCCCAGGGATTGAACCCGCATCTCTTGCATCTCCTGCATTGGAAGGTGGATGCTTTAGCACTGAGCCACCTAGTTTGGGTTACATGCTTTAAAAAAAAGTTTCTGTGCCCACCATTCTGCAACCTACACCCCCCCCCCCCACCATGACAGTGTTTTTAAGATCTGTTGCATAAATATATTACAATTTTATTTAGCCAGTCCCCTGGTGATGGACAGTTAAGCAGTTTCCAGTTGCTCACTGTCACAAACAATACTGCGATGCATATCCATGTACATGCCTCCTGGGCTCAGAGCAGCCACCGAATGACATCTGTCAGCGATGAACCGCTTGCTGGGTGGAAGGTCTGGTGGATATTATTGTGTGTCCTCCCCAAAGTTTTGTTACCATCGTTAAAAGCAGGTTGGGAGATTGAACGGGCTCCAGGGCTGGGGTGAAAGGCGCCCCAAGGTGAAGTCTTTCTGGGCTGCAGGCAAAGGGCGGCTGTCGCTCTCCCCTGCAGCAGCAGCCCCAGGTTGGTGTCCATGTGCCTAGGCTGCCACGCCCCTGGGCGCCCGCAGCCTCATTCTCGCTCCTGCACGGAGATGCGGCTCTCTTTGCCGTCCTCCTGGGTGACCGGCTGACACCAACATAAGGTCTCCTGCACCGGAGGAGGTGGGTGGGGCCCGGTAAAGTCCTCCGGATCAATCGTCTCCACGGGATCCTGCCTTTCAGGGTGCAGGGCCTGGGGAAACAAGGCTTGGTGTTGCCCCTAGCAACACTTCTGAGCCCTTCCCTGGAAGCCATCCCACCCCTCGCCCCTTTTGCCTTTCCCAAACCAAGGGTCAGTGCTGATTCCATGGGTGCGTCCTGCCCCCTGCTGGCCACAGCGAGGGTGTCACGAAGCTTCCGTAAGGGGAGCCCGCGGGTTAAGGAAATGTTCCTCCATCACCTACTCCTGGACCCCACACCAAGGCTCGGAAGATGCAGTTCTCCCAGGAAAGAAGAATAAATGTCAGACTTTGCCAGTGGTGCTGGGGAAGCTCTGGGGGAGGGTGATCTTGAGAGAACAGAAAAGGGGAGAGGGGGAGAAGCCCCAAGCCCAGAGGAGGGGGAGGGGACTGGCCCTGCATCAGTTTTGTTGCCATATAGGCAACAAAGAATCAGTCTTTCTTTCCCGTCTTAGACTGCCCCCCAGGCTGACCTACCTTAGCCTGCTTTTTCTTGGTCATGTTCCCTAGAGAGGGGGAAAAAAAAGGATGGGGAGTCGGCAAGGCAAGATCAGAAAACAGGTGACCCGTCAACTGTCCCTCCTGCCCCATCACCTCCCCACCTGGGGACTCACTGATACAGGCAGATACCAACAGGACAGCAAACAGAACTCCCATCGTGATGGGGATCACCACCAGGGTCCTCATCCGACTCTGGAAACCTGGAGAGAGCAAGACTTCAGCCATGGCTCCCCACCCTTTTGCCCAAAGCTGCTGTGCTTTGCTGGACTCTAAAAACCTTCTGTGTCTAAGCACATCTATATCAGAAATTTCAAACACATGGCCCCTAATAGAAATGTGACCAACAGATGTCTTTGGTGTGACTGGCATGTGTGGTGGTTTTTATTTTTTTTAATTTATAATATTTGCCAACATTTTTAAATTGGGAGATTGCACATTTAACATTTAGGTATCTGAGTTCTCTTACAAATTTGGAAGATCCAGCCCCAGGGGGCCAGCAGCCCACCTACCACTCATTGGCCAGAATTGAGTGGTGAAAGTTGCCGCTACCAGCTCCCCACGCTCCCCACCCCTCCCTACTCTTTGCCCAATACCAAGGCCCAGCTTCATGTACATCTGCACCCTTGTCTTTGTTATAGAAGAATGGGGGGGAAGGGAAAGTGTTTATTGTGTCTAAGTCTCTATTCTATGTGGGAAACTGGAAAAAAAAAAAGACCAGAGGTGTGGTAAGGACTAAAGTAAGCCCAATGAAGCACTGCCTGAGGACAAAACTGAAGGGGACACAAAAGCTCAGTAATCAAGATAAGTCGTATTTTTTTGGCCACACCACACAGCATATGGGATCTTAGTTCCCTGGCCAGGAATTGAACCCATGCCTGCTGCATAGGAAGTGCAGAGTCTTAACAACTGGACTGCCAGTGAAGTCCCAAATAAGTCATATTTTAATGTCATGTTTTGAAAAATCATATCAGCAAACTCTGGCCCACGGGCCAGCTGCCTGTTTTTAAATAAAGTTTTATTGGAACTGGAGTTGGGATTATGGTAAAGCAAGTGAGGCTGGTTGTACAAATACAGGGTTGAAGCTGTCTTTATTTAAACTGTTGCTATTCTATTTGTTATGGAGTTTTCACAGTAATTTTTTTAAATATTGCCTCAAATATCTATCTTGATGACAGCATTTTTCTGGTGCCCCCTTAAATACTGTGCCCAAGGCAAGTGCCTCCCTCACCTTACCCCAGTCCCAACCCTGCCAAGAGGAAAGTGAATTTTAAGGAAAAGCAGAGTGTCTTTTTCTTACCCCTGATCTTTTTCACTCATTAACTGGATCCTGCCTAATCCCTGTAGTTATTTGAGTCTGTGATCTGTGCTGTAAGTCACTTCCTCATTCTAAAATCAAAACTGAGGTCTCTGGTGGCCTAGAGGTTAGGATTCCGGGCTTTCACTGCTATGGCCAGGATTCAATCCTTGGTCAGGGAACAGATTCTGCAAGCCATGTGGCATGGCTGAAAAAAAAAAAATTGAAGCCCTGAGAGGAAACAGTGTCACACATGCTGGTCCTCAATGTGCAGGGTGGCAGAAGAGAACTGAGGGGATGCTTCCAAAATGCCTGAGCCCACGCCAGGTATTTACACTGCCCTATTAGGGGAGGTGGTATTATCCCATTTTACAGATGGAAAAACTGAGGCTCAGAGAGAGGGAGTGACTTGCCCAGGCTCCACAGATAAGCGGCAGAGCTAGCTCGCCACAATTCCAAACTGCCTCCTCCTCTTGCTTTAACCTCCCCTCCCTCTTTCCCCACCAGTGCTTCCGGGTACCCCAGGCTCCCCCTAGCTCCCCACCTTCTTAGCCTGCCACTGGGGCCCACTCTCCAGGACTTACCACAGACAACGTCTGTCTTATTCGTCCCCGCATGTTGTTCCACCAGGCCTTTTCTCTCGCAGCTGTGTACAGACACAAGTACACACATACGTGCACATGCAGACACACACAATCAAAGAGACACTAAGTTTCCCCAGTCATGAGATTTCCAACCCCAGAGGGAGACAGCCAACAACCAACAAGTCCACGTTCACGAAGCATGTATTGTGTGCACTCTCCTGAGCTGGTTGTTATGGGAATGACACGGACTGTTCATCTAGAACTCATGAGTACAGAGGAAAGACGATGGTAAGTCATGAAGGAGTGAGGATGGGAAAGCGTCTGATGAGTGCCAAGTGCACTTGAACTGGAAATGGTTCAGAGTAGAGGAGAGAGAATCCACAGTGACTGGGATGCAAGGATGAGGGCAGTGCCCAAATTTGGCACCACTGATGTCTGGGGGCCACATAATTTTTCTTCTGTGGTGGGGACTGTCCTGAATACCATAGGATGTTTAGCAGCGTCCCTGGCCTCTCTCCACTAGAGGCCAGTAGCATCCTCCTCCTCTGTCGTGAGAACCAAAAATATCTCCAGATATCATCACATGTCCCCTGGGGGAGAAAACTGTTCAGCTGAGAATCTCTGGTCATCCAGAAAGACTTCCCTGGGGAAGTTAGATCTCAGTGGGCCCTTGAGGGATGTAAAATTTAGAACATCAGTATATTTAGGGCATGCCAGGGGTCTCAGCAGTAAAGAATCCACCTGCAATGCAAGAGACACAGGTTCAGTCCCTGGGTGAAGATCCTCTGGAGAAGGAAATGGCAACCCACTCCTGTATTCTTGTCTGGGAAATCCCATGGACAGAGGAGCCTGGTGGGCTACAGGCTGTGGGGCCGCAAAGGAGTCGGACACAACTTAGCAACTGAACAACAATAATAACATACTCTCCTTAAGCAGGACAACATGATGCTAAGGATTAGGTGGGTGATGAGCCAGATGGTATAAGGAAACTCTGGAAAATTGAGTCTTTAGAACAAGATCACTAATCAGCCATGCAGCTTTCAACTGGATTCAGCTGGTGGGTCGCATCAGCATCCAACCAGATGACTTAAGCTGCTAGAGGATTTAATGGCCAAAGATCTCCTGGGAGGAGAAACGACAGAAAAATGGCTGGCCAGGAGGCCATTGCCCAAGTCATACATGAGATGATGAAGACTTGGGCCAAGGTGGTTCCCAGGAGGAATGGAAAGGGATAGACAGAGAAGGACATCACAAAGGACAAAACATCTAACGCAGGAAAAAGAGAAGCTTCAAAGAAAGCACGTATATGAGAAGAGTGCTTAGGAGTTTTTGAAACACATTTACATGTCTTTTCCTCGACCCTTGTGAAATGAAGGTCTTTCTACTTTTCCGAATGAGGACACCAAGGCTCAGATGAGGGTCACAGTTCCACATAGTCATACCCTTTCTAAGCTGAGTGAGTTTGGAACCCAGTGCTCTGGTTCTACCAAGCCAAGGTGCCTCCCTTCTCAGTCAACATTTATCAGTAAAGATTTATTGAGCACCTACTATGCAGCAGGCACTGTTTGGAGCATAAGGGATACATCCATGGAAAAAAAAAAAAGATCATCTCTATAGTTCAGGAGTTTGCCACCTACTGGAGACAGGCAGACAGTAAACAAAGTATATACAGGATGTTACTATTTGTGTGAAAGATCCGTTTGCATGTGCCTGCCTTTGTTTGTGCAGAGAATCTCTAGAAGGACACGCTTGGTCCAGTGGCTGCAGGATGGCTGAGGGTGACAAGGGCACATATCACTGTTGGCCCTTGTATGCCTTCTGTCCTCACGCCTGTCTTACTCATTTTTTCAAATTAAACATAAAAAAAACTTAATCAGGCATGTGCTCAAGCATATTCCAGGCAGAAGAGTTTAATGCAAGAGAACGAACAGTGTGTTGAGGGAATTGCAAGCAACATGATGTCAGGAAGAGATCAAGAGATGGAGCTGGGAAGTCAGGGGCTGTGCAGAGAAGTTGGGGTTTCATCCCAAAGGCGCAGAGAGCCACGGAGCATTTTAAACAGGGAGTGCCGTACTCCGAAGAGAACAGTAGAAAGCTTACTTTGGCAGAGGGATAGAGAGCCAGCTGAAAGGGAGAGGATAGAGGCAGGGAGGCCGGTGAGGAGGCTACAGCATCATACAGACCACAGTGATGAGGTCCAAACTAAGGTGGTGACAGGGGAGATTAGAAAGGAGGAAGAGTCCCAAAACATTTGGAAGGTTAGACAGACAGGACCTAGTGACTGTTTGGGGGAGACGGAGAAGGATGCTGCAACAGGTGCCCAGAGGCATGTCTGCACCTGTCACAGCCGGCGAAGGGGGCAGGCAGGTTCCCGTGGCTCACCTCCGAGGAGGTGTACCCTTGGCAGGTAGATACAACAGTCTGGGACCTAGGAGACAAATCTAGACAGATGGTGATGGAGAGCAATCAAAGGGGAATAGTAGCCAAAGCCACGGATGTGGAAAAGATGGTCCAGGGGAAGTGGGCAAAGTGAGAGGAGACCAGAGCCTAGAACAAAGGCCTAGAAAACCAGTTCAGAAGGAGGAAGGAGGGGCTAAGAGGGGTACAAAGAAAGGAAGAGAGGTGTCACTGTGCCCCCATGGAGGGAGAATTTCACCAAAGATCAGAGAGCAGCAGAGTCTATTACCACCAAGAGAGAGCAGGCAAAAAATGCCGAAAGTGTCTGTCTGGTCAGCCGTGGGGTCCCTCGAGACATTCTAGAGGTGTGTGAGTGTGTGTGGACATGAGGAGTGGGGACCGAAGGACAGGTGGCCAGAGAGAAGGGAAGCAGGTCCCGTGCCCCTCTTGGGGCAGGAAGCACAAGGGATGAGTCCTTATACCTTGTCCAACGGTGACACTTTTCAAAAGCAGACGACACATTGGAGAAGAAGCCGGCCGGGCACGGTTCACAGATAGTATCCAAAACCCCTGTAGCTGAGGGGGAGGAGGAGGCATTGATCATCACAGTGGACCCCCTGTCTGGCTCTCAGGGGGACCGGTGGGCAGGCAAGACCAGAAGGGCGTCCTGCTTCAAAGCACTTCTCCCCGCAGCACACACCTTCCTTGCTGCAGGCAGCCCCTAAGGAGGCTTCTCCCATGGCCCTCCCGAGGCTGATGCCCACAGTGGGAGGCAGAAGGCAAAGGTTCCATTTCCAACCCACTATGGTGGAGATATCAACGTAGGCTGGTCCCTCCGCCTCTGGGGTGGAGTGCCCACTGCCCAGCCCCTCTTCTTGGGCCCTTGCCTCCTCTCTCCTGCCTCTAGAGCTGATTCGCAGACAGGCCACTTACCGATCCGCTTGACCCCGAAGCCAGGGAGACACAAGCTGTGGGGCTTGCAGCTTTCACAGGTGTGACTGGTACAGTGTTGGCCTTCAACACACACACAAGTGGTGTCTGTATTCAAGGTGCCCTCGCTCTGGATCCGGAGCCCTAGGTCTGTGCAGAGACAGGCAGGAAGGAAGGATGGGAACCCCTTACCAGCTGTGATCCAGGGGCCCCTGATCTTCATATTTCCTGTTCTTTTCTCTTAGACCCTCTTCCTAGCAGGGAGGGCAATCAAATTAGGTAACAACCAAGACAACCCAGACTCTAACCAATCAGAACAGACCCTGGGTATTAAAAAAAAAAAAAAAAAAAAGCCAGGACGGCTGTATTGTCAGGAATGAGCTGGAACATCAGCCTGACTCCCAAGGGCCCCTTCCCCCACAGCCTGCGTACTGGGGTTGCAGTATCTGTGCTCGTGACAGTATTTCTCTCTGTTGAAGGTGGACAGGAATTCGCCTTTACCACAGGACTGGCATGTTGTTTTGCTGACCTCCGTGCAGTCGTTCACCAGTTTCTGTCCTGGAAAACATCCAGAAATGAGGGCACTCCAGCCAACCCAATGAGTCAGATACTTAATTGAAAAGTGGTAAGGCTGGGCTTTAGGGAGGGGGGTTCAAAGAGGGCAGTCCCAGAGCCTTCCAGCCTTCATACTCTGGTATAGGACGCAGGAGAGATAGGAACCCTAGTTCTGGGTCGGCAGAGAGGAAGCTCAGAACATCCTGGGACAGGGACAGGGACAGGGACAGGGAATCCCAGGGGTCATTTAAGACACAAGCTTGTAGTTGACACATGAGATCTGCATCTGCCAACAGACCAAGACCGGTCACACGTGAGGCTAGAGGGTCGGCATCTCACCCGGCGGGCACAAGTCGCAGCAATGATTGTTTACTGGGTATTGCTTGTCTCCGCAAGCAGTGGCTGGTTCTGCGTGGACCTAAAAACAGAATTGGGTGATTTGAAGGGATCTTGAACTCTCAAATGTAGCTTCCTTGGCAGAAAGGTGCGAATCAGCCAGGACAGAGATTAGAACCAAAGTGGAAGTACAAAGCAGAAAAGGGGGCCTGTGTATTATATATTGCATTTGTTGTTAACTAAACCGCATGATGACAAAGGTACTCAGAGAATCATTCTGATATCTTACAAAGTGATTGCACTGTTAACTCACAGTATTCATTGAACTAAACAGATCTTCCTTTTGGCTTGACAGCTGAGCCTTTCCTCTCCCCAGCGACCCAAGAGCACACGAGGACTCCAGCATCTACCCTGGAGTCCTGAAGCTGGCTGACTCCAGCTGGTCCTAGTCCAAATGGGGGCTATATTTAGCATCTAGTCTCTTCCTTCTATTCTTTTGCTCCCCACCCTCTTCCCCTCTCTGAGCCTCATCATGTTTTCTCCCTCCAACCTCTCATCATCTGATCATCCAACCCTTCCCTCATGAAATACAGGACGGAGCAGCTGGAAGGATAAAATCCAACTCTTTCACTTCACACGTGGTGAGACTAGGGACCAGAAAGGCTGATTCACTTGCCCAAGGTCACGCAGTGATAGAATCCGAATGAGAACTCAGGTCTCAATACTCCCTCTCTCCATCAATGTGGGTCTCACCTGCATTATTGTCACTACATCCAGGTACCACCCATGCTATTCATGACTTCTTGTTCATTTAAATACATTTATTTTCAAGGTAAACCTCATAGCATTGCCATGAGAGAAAAACTAGTATCACTTCTCTTAAATAAAAGGCAATCCTAAAAATAAATTCAGCAGAAACAAAACAATGTCATTAAACCGTAGCTGATTGCTTTGCTTACTGACAGACCTCTACCCCAGGCCCGCTCCTGATTTTTGTTTTAAAAGGAGGATTAGAAGGCATTTGACAGGAATTAACTATATTCTAGCTCCAGCGACTTCCTTCTTGAAAAAATGAAAAGGATTTTAAACAGAACTGCAAAATGAATCTATGTTGTTAATTCCATATCCGCATGGGGTTGCAGAAGAGTTGACATGACTTAGTAACTAAACAACAGCAACCGCATGCTCTCTAAAATCATCTCACACTTTGGGAACAGCCAGTGAAAAGAACAGTTTTAAGGGTCAAACAGCTTAAAGCTCCAGTCTTGACTTTGTAACACTTAACTAGTTATTTTGCCTCTCTTATCCTCAGTTTCTACAACTCTAAAATTGGAGAAATGTCTGCCCCACAGATTAGGACTTCCTACGTGGCCCCAGTGGTTAAGAACCTACCTCCCAATACAGGAGATATAAGAGACATGGGTTTGATCCCTGGGTCAGGAAGATCCTCTGGAGGAGGACATGGCAGCTCACTCCAGTGTTCTTGCCTAGAGAATCCCATGGACAGAGGAGCCTGGTGGGCTACAATCCATGGTGTCACAGAGTCGACTGAAGCAATTTAGCATGCACCCATGCACGGATTAGGTTGTGAAGATGAGAAAGAATGGATGAATATGGCCTGGTATGGTGTCCAGAACATAGTAGGTGCTCATTAAATGGCACTTTTAATTATCATACATACATAAGTATCTGCTGGGTTGCCCAGCACCCTGGCTACCAAGATCCTACCTAATTGGTGGCTCTCATTCAACCTGGGGTGGGGGGGCAAATTACTTACAAAAGTGTATCTTATCCCAAGCAGGGAAGGAGACAGCAAAGGTTACTGCTCCCACCATTACATCACAACACACCATCCCATGAGCGTTCTCCCCAGAAGCCCATGGACCTTCCCCCCACACTCCCAGAGCAATAAAAATCCTCTATGCCATTTTCAAACATATGAGAAATATAGCCCCTCCTCTGAAAATGTGTCAAATCCCAGTTCCTACTTTACAGTTTCGACCCTTCTGACACGTGGGAGCTTGGAGACTCTCACCATCTGAGAGGCTGGCTCAGGAATCAGGCAGATGTAGATTTATCGGCAGGTTTCACCTACCTAAGTGGATTGGGGTAAGCCATTTTCTCTCTGTGAGCCTCAGTTTGCTCATCTGTATAATGGGGGAGTTGGAAGAAATCAGACCAAGAATGCATGTAAAGTATTTTGCTCCAAGCCTGACACACAGGAGGCTCTCAATAAATAGCCCCAGATATTGTTGTCACAGCCTCATCTCCACCTGGAGCTAAAATTGGGACTTTGCTCTTGAGAAGCCCAGACCACCTTTCACCCTATCCCTGCTGGCTTTTCCTCCACTTCTCCTCCAAGAGCCCCCTTCCTGCCTCCTTTCTCCCTAAGAGCCATTGCTTACAGTGAAAATGAAAGTGCTGGGGCCAGAGCAGCTTCCCCACAGCATCTCTCCCCTTGCTGCTGACCCCTACTTCATGGGTCGTTCCTGCCCTGCCTTCATGCCAGAAAGTACAGCCCTTGAAAGTTAGGGGGAGACCAGAGGGGTGGGGATGACAGTGTCAGGTACTTGGGGGATTCCCAGCCTCCAGAATGAGGAACTACAAAAATACTAGAAGCGAGTCAAGTGTGGAACTCTGAAAATCCCGGAGATATGCTTGGTTGGGCATATCTGAGCCCTTCTGGTACCTAGAGAAACCTCTGCTGGTCTCCCAGCCCTTTCATGGCCCCACGAACTGTTCAGTTCCCTCTGAGAGTCCCCTATGTCATCTTAAATTCCGGAGGCAGGGACACAGCCTTGGGTATTCCTCCTATGTTGGGGGAGGGGGAGGATCACCACGGTTTGGTTCTGGAGTGGGAATGTTAAAAGCTCCCAGCCTTCTCAGAGAAGCACCTGGGCCTCTGCCCTCATCCCTTGCTCCCGCAAGATGCCCTGGAAGAAGGCCACCCCAGCTGGCAAGGAGGTGATAACGACTCACAGAGGCTGGCATCTATCCACAACGGGAAAGAGGCAGGAAAACGGCCAGACCCGCCCCTTCCCTTGGCTAGCCTCCCTTCTCACTTCTGAAATCCCTCACCGTCTCTTTGGGGCCAGCCTTTGAGGCCGACCCAGACTCCAGTTTTTTGACCAGATAAAGGCTTAAGGCTGCCAAAACCCCCAACCTCATCTGCGGTGCCTAGGCGTTTCCTGCGGCGACCCCACTAGGCGCCCTCTGTGGACCACCTGGGACTCCCACCCCAGCCTGGGAGGAGAGAGAAACAGCCCATCTCATTCAGCCACGACCCCGGGTACCTTACCCAGCTTCCACACCCCCACCCCAAAATCAGCTCAGAAGGTCCCCTGCCCGAAGTATCGCTTCTTTTCCCATTCCCTACTCTCTAATCTCAAATTCCCGCCTCTGGTAGGAACGGAATTTCAACTTACGGCGGTCAGAAAGCAGGCCCAGAAGAGACACTGCAGAATCAGACGAACCATGGCGAGGTGAGAACCGGGCGGCGGGAGGAGAGCGCGCCCGGACTTGGCCGCTTCCAGTGCCCCTGTCCCGGCCCGGGGGCCCGCCCAGGAAAGAAGCGGGGTCTTCGGGGACCAATCGTAGCCGGCCTCGCTGGCGTGGGGGGGGGGGGGCGGGGGGCGGAGCTCCTGGAGACACACCTTCCTGGGATTTCCCCCAGGACATTCCCGGGGAGTCTAATTCCCCAAGGAGTTTAGGGACGCGCTTTGGGGGAGGAAGCGGGGAGAAGCGGGAAGGCTTGGTTCCAAGGAGAGCTCTTCTTGGGAACCGCCCCCCCCCCCCGCCGCCCCCTGGGACTACAAAGGCTGAACAGGAGGGAGGCAGCCGCTTTCTGGGGATGGGGATGAGGGGTTGGGAGAGAGGCGAAGGGAGTGGAAAGAGATCCCCATGGGTGTTGAGAAGAGTCCCCCACCCGGCCCTGTTCTTCCCCGCCGCCTCCGGCAATCCCGGCGGAACCGAAAGTGTCGAACGCCGCGGATGGAGTGGCCTAAGGAAGTTCCCAGAAAACGGGAAGGCCACGGCTGGGTAGTGGAAGGAGGGTTGGGGGGTGGGGGGGGCTTTCAAGGAAAAGAGTTTCCCAACTTACAGTTTCGCTCTCTTTCAAAGGAAATTCCCTCGCATGGGCGCCGCGTCCCAGAGCGCCACCTCCCCCATTCCATCCATTCATCCATCCATTCATCCATCCATCCATCCATCCATCCATCCATCCATCCATCCATCCATCCATGCTGTCCCCACCAGACTCTATTCCATTCCAGTTCCCTTCTGCCACTTGAAGACAGGCACTTAGAATAGACCAGTCTTTCGTGGGATCGCAAGACCCCTTGAGAATCTTAGGAGACTGGAGACCGCCTAGTTCTGCAGAAGCACAAGTCCTTGTAGCTATTATTTCCCCAGTTCAGACCCTCCAAGCCTTTCTTGAACCAGTACTGACACTCTACTCTGCAGCAGGGAACACCTGGGTTCTGGCCTAGGCTCTGCTTCTGATGGGCTGGGTGTCCTTGAGCCTCAGTTTGCTTCAATGAAACCTAAAGAGGGTGTTTGGGGTGATGACTCTCCAAGCTCTGAGTTTCTGGGTGGGGTCAAAAAGCCAAACTGTGCAGGATGGTAGTGGGCTGCTAACCCCGTCCTCCTGGCTTCTGCTGCAAAGGGCACGTTTGCAGACCTGTAGATTCTTCCTTCAGAATCCTATCCCCTGTCTTCTATCCCCTCTGCCACTGCCTTGATTCAGAGGCTCGGCATCTTTGACCTGGGCTGTCACAAAAGCCTCACTCATTCAATTAAGTATTTGTTGAGTCTCTGCTATGTTCCAGGTAACTCTGAGCCCTCTCTCTCTCTCATTGTGCACATTGTTGCAATTCTCTTTGTAGGATCTGATCTGATGGGGGCACTTCACTGCTTAAAAACCTTTTTGCGCTGCCCTACAACCACTCCATCCTAAAGGAGATCAGTACTGGGTGTTCATTGGAAGGACTGATGCTGAAGCTGAAACTCCAATACTTTGGCCACCTGATGTGAAGAGTTGACTCATTGGAAAAGACCCTGATGCTGGGAGGGATTGGGGGCAGGAGGAGAAGGGGACTACAAAGATGAGATGGCTGGATGGCATCACTGACTCGATGGACATGACTTTGAGTAAACTCCAGGAGCTGGTGATGGACAGGGAGGCCTGGCGTGCTGCGATTCATGGGGTTGCAAAGAGTCGGACACGACTGAGTGACTGAACTGAACTGATACCCTGTTGCTGTTGTTATTTTTCAGTCACTAAGTCTTGTCCAACTCTCTGCAACCCCATGGACTGTAGCACACCAGTTTCCTCTGTCTTCCACTATCTCCCAGAGTTGGCTCAAATTCATGTCCGTTAAGTCGGTGATACTATCTGACCATCTCATCCTCTGTCACCCTTCTCCTTTTGCCTTTAATCTTTCCCAGATCAGAGTCTTTTCCAAACAGCAGGATTTTCACATCAGGTGGCCAAAGTATTAGAGCTTCAGCTTCAGCATCGATCCTTCCAATATATGTTCAGGGTTGATTTCCTTTAGTATTGACTGGTTTGGTCTCCTTGCTGAACAAGGGACTCTCATCTGAGGATGCTCCAAACTCCTTCTCCTGGCGCAGCTGAGTCTCCACTCAGCCCCACCCTCTCTTCCCACACTCACACCCTGCCATGCCCTCCCATGCATGCTGGCTTCAAGCATCCTCGCCTTCTCTTCACTTTCCAAAGGCACAGTTGTTTCTTTCTTCTGTCTTGCTGTTTTCTTCCTTCTCCTTCCCCAAATGAGTTTAAATTTTACCTTCTCTTTAGCTAAACCTCCTCTTAACTCTCCGAGACAGAAGTAGATACTGCACCCCACCTTCGCCCCTGCTCCCATGTTCCCACAGCATTAACATGCTGGATTCTCACCCCGTATGCCTGGCCCCATTTGATGGTGAGCTCATTGAGGGCAGGACTGAATCTGTCCCAGTCCTGGGCACCAACACATTTGCTGAATGAATAAATAAGTGAATAGGTTCGATAACTTCTTATTCTAAGCACAGACTCCATCAGAAAGGAGGTACAAAGCTGGTGGTTTCAACACAGACCTCAAGTTGATACCCATAGTCCCAGAACACTTGAAATCACAGACCAGGGAATTTCATGAAAGTCACACAAGCATGCCTGGGATAGAGAGAACATTAAAATATCTTTTCCCTTTTTAACCCACTTTGAAAAACACAAGCACCATTTTCATTCCTAGGGGGGTGGTGGAGGGGGGCGTTACTATAATAACTTAAGCCATTACTTATTCTTTATTTGCTTGATTCTAAAATTGGGCCCTTCACAAAACTGCCTTGGGAAGCAAGTACACAATTAAACATTAATTATATTATATAAAACATATCATAGCAGCAATTAAAGCAGCTTAAATTAATGTGTGAAAGAATAAATAGTAGCCTCTGGGTGGCCCCATGGGGTGAAGACCAGATGAGATAAAGGGAAGATATTTTAGTAGATGCATATCCCGAGGAGACATGGGCTGGCGGGCATGGGCCCAGAGAAGGCATCGAATCTTCTTGGGCTGAGAAGAGTGTGCTGGTGGAGGAAAGAGAAAAGATGACTTTTGGGGAGGGTGACAATATTTCAGAGTCCCACTGAAGGATGAAACTATTAAGCATTCAGTGGTGGGAGTAGGGCAAAGGGCATTCCGAAGAGTAGGGACCCAGGATTTTGAAATCACAGAAGAAATGGCCTTTGTGGGGAGGTGGGGGCGGGGGGATGCAGATAAATGGATGAGAAGCGGGCCTGAAGGTCAAGTCTGCAGTACTGCCAGAATCTGGCTGCTAGGTAGTTCTAAAATACAAACCCGATTGTGCACCTCTCAGATGTGAAGCAACCCTGCAGATCTCTCACTCCCACAAGCCCACAGGGCCTCAAGGCCATGGGTTTCCTGGGCCTGCACCTCTAACCGTCCTCCCTGCCTTCAACTTCCCGCTCCAGACTGTCCTGTCATCACTGCAGGGAAAGCCCTTTCCCACTGTCCTTTCAGCAACCAACTCCTTCTCTTTTTAAAAAGTATTTTTAAAAAAATAAAAGTATTTTTTTGACTGTGTGGAGTCTTAGTTGTGGCATGCAGGATCTTCGTTGCATCATGCAGATTCTTTCCTTGCAGCACACAGACTCTAGTTGTGACCCTCGGACCCCGGAGCTCACAAGTTTCAGCAGTTGTGGCTCCTCTGTCCATGGGATTATCCAGGCAAGAATACTGGAGTGGATTGTCATTTCTTCTCCTTGAGTCTCCTTAAAGAATGTAAGATTTTAAAATTTATATATATAACTTTACTTTGCTTACTTTGACTACTTTTTGCCCCGCTGGGTCTTCACTGCAGTGTGCAGGCTTTCTCTAGTTGTGGCATGCAGGCTTAGTTGCTTCGTGGCACGTGGGATCTCAGTTCCCTGAGCAGGGATCAAACCCGCATCCCCTGCATTGCAAGGCAGATTCTTAACCACTGGGCCACCAGGGAAGCCCCCAGACCAGCTCTTTCTTATCCTTCAAGGCTCAACTCAGATGCCCCTTCTCTGGAAAGCCCTCTCCATCAGCCAGCCTGGGATGCGCACCCCTACCTCCCCATGCCCGCTCAGAACCCTGGAGCTGCTTGCCTAGGTAAGACTCCAGCCCTACCATGCCATATTTCAATTATTCTGTTTACTCACAGAACCAGTGTATTGAGGCGACTCAACTCAGTGGGATATGATAGTGAAGCTTTTCCCCCTAATCTCTGCCTTCAGTCCTGCTGTGTTGAATCTCCATTTTCCTTCGCTTAATGACATCTCGGGCAGATTGCATTACTTTCGGATCACTTTCTGTTGTTAAGCTTCCATCCTTGAAAGCTTTATTCTCAAACTCAATTTAAATCTCATTTGATCTTCTCCCTTACTTATCCAAGGATTCACTTGAGCCAGAACCCCATTTGTTTGGATAAAAAGTGGAAGTGGGTGCATGGCCTGATTGGGAGACATACCCTGCTGCTGCTGCTAAGTCGCATCAGTCGTGTCCGACTCTGTGCGACCCCATAGATAGCAGCCTACCAGGCTCCTCTGTCCCTGAGTTTCTCCAGGCAAGAATACTGGAGTGGGTTGCCATTTCCTTCTCCAGTGCATGAAAGTGAAAAGTGGAAGTGAAGTTGCTCAGTCATGTCCAACTCTATTACGACCCCATGGACTGCAGCCTACCAGGCTCCTCCATCCATGGGGTTTCCCAGACAAGAGTAGTGGAGCGGGTTGCCATTGCCTTCTCCGACATACCCTGCTATCATCCCCTTATTGAAATTGGGAGGAGGGCGCAGGGACAAGCTTCTGTAACACGGCCCTCTCCCTGTTACTTGACCCTGCTTCCCTGGCTAACCCAGGGAGGCAAGTTTTCATCCATGGAGCATGTAAGCTTCTTAGGGTCTTCCTACGGCCAGGTTCTCTGACAAGGGGCAT